ATTTTTGTAAAATTATCTTCTAAAAATATTAAGTTTAAAAATTCCGTATACATTCCGCATGATTAATTTTTTCCGTATACATTTCTTATACATTAGTTTTTTTAAAAAATGTTCAAAAATGAATTGCTTATTAAATATACGGAATTTGTATACGGAATCTATAAAAACGTACAAAAAATGTATACAAAACGTATCCTTTCCGTATACATATTTCTTATAGGGACTGACTATATTTATTCGTCTTGGTTTAATTTGAAATTGGAATGTACAAATATATAAGGTATTCTTGCACTCATTTCTTAACATTTTTTACGCCCCCTTTTGAATTGTAAAAATTTAACTGAAATTAGGCAAAGCAAAATTAATTACGCATTAATATACTGTATTATAGATATTTAATATCAAATTGAATACATTTTCAATTTTTGCACAAAAAATTCTGAAACTATGGTATAAGAGTGAACCTTCTACATCAAAGAATTGTTACCGTATTACCGAGAGAAGTCATTTTATTTTGAGCATTACTAAATCTCACCAGCATTAGCAAATTTTAACGGGCAGAGTTTCATGACATTTTTAATTCCGCCCAAAATTCTATCCTAATTCTGGTAAGGTGACAATCATCAGCAGTAATATTCTCTTTAATTTCGTCGTGATTTTTATTTCAAATATTTTTAATATTTATAAATCAACAAAGTTCATAGTAATACATATTAAATTATTATCATTTTTAATTTTTTTATAAACGAAATATAATAATTGGCTAATTGCAAAATAAGTTTAAAACCAAACAAATCATTTATTATTAGAAACTAGTGCATATATTAATGTTTGTTAAGGCGCAGAAACTCATTGTTTTCCAATTAAATCTTTTCGGATTTATAATGTTCCGACGTTACCTTCTTTTAAATAACGGAAAAATCCTTGCATAAAGTAACCGAACTATATTCTTTTGGGTTAAAACGTTGATCTTGCAAAGGCATATGATTTACTGTTTACACGATAAATATTTGTAAATTAATTATTAATAAAAAAATAAATTTATTCGAAGTCAGATGCGCATTTCTAACATCACGTTACTCAACATTGACATTTTAAACCTCCTCACATCTTTTAAGTAACTTTGTAGAACAGGCCATTTTCAGGAATTCACATGAATGCAAATGATACGAGTTTCATACTAAGTTTTCTCGGAAAAACTTGATATTAAGTCGATCTTCAAATGTTTGAACATTGTTCATTCCTTTTGGTTAGCGTATTTGGAATGTAATTACTCCCAATATACAAGGGGAATAAAACGGAACATCCGAAAAACGTTCGGGCTCGCCAGGAAATAAGAAAAAGTACGAATAAAAGCGCCAAAATTAAAGTATTAAAAATATTTCATTTCAGTGGACCACAGGAAGTACCTTGGTACCTTTTCAATAGGTAATTATTAGGGATTATGGAACGAAAAAGCAACTGAAATATTATAACTTGAACAAGCATTTTTGGCTCTTTTATTATCAGAATACTTGGAATACTTGAGTATTTAAAATAAAGTAATATAAATTTGGTATCTTTTCCTTTCTCTGATAAATTTAGTAAGATTTTGAAATCATGTTAATAATTAATATAAGGTACAAGTGTTTTTGGTTTAGTGTCATTAATTTTGCGAAACGAAAAATATATATCTTATGACATCATAAATTTTGGGCTGAGCTAAATTTGTTTGTTTAATTGGACTGTCGGTTGGTAGCACCACATAGATCATAGAATTTATGCGGATAAATTTTTATATGAAACATTTTTGAATAAATTGAAACACAGAACAAAATTGAAACTAAGATTATAAAAATTGAGTAACAATGACAATAATGATAATTTTCATTACCAACGATTAATTTAAACGTATCGTATCACTTTATTTGTATATTATGTAAAACATTAAACAATAAATTTTGCCGAAAAAACTTTAAACCGATCAAACCCTCCTTTTACAAACCCTCAAAATTAATGACGCTAAACCAAAAAAACACTTGTACCTTATAGTGATTAGTAAAAATTTATCTTACTTGATATGTATTACAATTTATAAATATTTTTCTTTTATTTATTTCGTTAAATGATAATAATTTGTTAATATTTGCTAAATAATATTATTTATTTTATTTAAATCAAATTGATTTACTAAAAAAAATCCTTGTTTTATGATACAAAAAAACATGCACAACATGTATTGTATTTATATATTTTATTTTTTTTTAAAAGGTCTCATAACTATTATCGATCCAACATGTGATTGCAGAAAATATGTACTCGGTAAACCTGCTGTATTATTTTCGAGTGTAAAGTATGTAACCAATATTTTACACCTCGAAACTTACTTTTACGTTACATAATAATAATATGTTTATTGTATACGTTACTTGTTTGCTGTAAGCTGTTAATAGCGTTGAATACAGTCAGAACTTTATATAACGATATGTCACGACATATACGAAATTTTTAGAAAATATCGTTATATCAAGATATTTATATGTCCTCACATATAGCGGGAAAATAAAATTTTATCGGTATATCAAGTTTTTAATAGTATATCGGTATATCGAATATCGGTATATCGAGGTTAGAACGTATTATGTATTATTCGGAGTAGTAATATGCTACTGAATTTCAATATCAAATACAATAAAAGAGAGTAAATTATAAATTAAAATCCTTTTTTATTAAAAAAGAAACTCATTGCTTTGTCATTTATAAAACATCATTGAATCTTTCCTTACTAAAGTAATATTTGTAGATGTAAAATTTAAAGTCTGTTTAAAGAATAAAATAAATAATTGCATATAATTTTTTTCATTACGTTGTACATAAAGTACGGTTTAAATCCTGCCTCACAAACATAGTTACAGTATTATGATTTTATATGCAATGCCATACCATATCGTTATACAAAACATTGAATTTAATGTTTAGTATAATAAAATGGACTGAAAATCTTTTATCAATCTTTAATTTTGTAAAGAAACTCAATTAAAAAATATATCTGATATAAAAATGTACATCATATTGATAAATTGAAGAAACTTACAAGCCCAACTTTTAACAGAATAACAATGTATGGCCTTTTTGTTGTTGTTTTTTCCCGCTGTTAAGTTTTTTTTTTTTGAGGTTCGTCCGTCGAATAAAAAGCGAAAACTTATTCACAGCACAACAGATGCAGCGTCGTCGTCATATCGATCTTATAGATTGTATTCCTAT